AGCAGCACTGTCAAGGCTGAGAATGGGAAGCTGGTCATCAATGGGAAAGTTATCACTATCTTCCAGGAGCAAGATCCTGCCAACATAAAGTGGGGTGATGCTGGTGCTGAGTATGTTGGGGAGTCCACTGGTGTCTTCACAACCTTGGAGAAGGCTGGGGCTCACTTAAAGGGTGGTGCCCAACGGGGAATCATCTCTGCTCCTTCTGCCGATGCCCCCATGTTTGTGATGGGCATGAACCATGAAAAGTATGACAACTCTCTCAAGATTGTCAGCAATGCCTCCTGCACCACCAACTGCTTGGCTCCCCTGGCCAAGGTCATCCATGACAACTTCGGCATTGTAGAGGGACTCATGACTACAGTCCATGCCATCACTGCCACCCAGAAGACTGTGGATGGCCCCTCTGGAAAGCTGTGGCATGATGGCCGTGGAGCTACCCAGAACATCATCCCTGCGATCTACTGGTGCTGCCAAGGCTGTGGGCAAGGTCATCCCTGAACTGAATGGGAAACTTACTGGCATGACTTTCTGTGTCTCCACTCCCAATGTGTCAGTTGTGGACCTGACCTGCCATCTGGAGAAAGCTGCCAAATATGATGACATCAAGAAAGTGGTAAAGCAGGCATCAGAAGGGCCCCTCAAGGGCATCCTGGGATACACTGAAGACCAGGTTGTCTCCTGTGACTTTAATAGTGACACCCACTCTTCGACCTTTGATGCTGGGGCTGGCATTGCTCTGAGTGACCACTTTGTCAAACACATTTCCTGGTATGACAATGAATTTGGCCACAGCAACCAGGTGGTCGACCTGATGGTTCACATGGCCTCCAAAGAGTAAGAGCCCCTTGGAACAGCAGCTCCAGCAACAGCACTAGAAGAGAGAGAGACCCTCAGCTGCTGGGGAGTCCTTGCCCCAACTTGATCCTCCCACACACTGAGAATCTCACATCCTTGACACAAGTTCCCATCAAATCCCCCAGAGAAAGGGGAGGGGCTTGGAGAGCCCATCTTGTCATGTACTATCAATAAAGTACATTGTACTCAGCCAAAAAAAAAAAAAAAAAAGAGTGTTGATTGTGGAGCCAAGCAAACTGTAATTGTTGACGACCTCAATCTCTCCTCCATCTTTCGTGGTGCTGCCCATTGGCCCAGTGGTGAGAATCTTTGTCTTCTTGATGTTGAGGTTTAATCCATATTGAAAACTACAGTCCTTGACCTTCTGCAGCAAGAGTTTCAGGTCTTCTTCAGTTTCAGCACAAGGTTGTATCATTGGCATAACATAGTTTGTTGATGATTCTTCCTCCAATCCTGATTGCCACATTTCTCCTTATAAAGGCAGGCCTTCACAATTATTTGTTATGCTCCAGAGAGCTGAACAATGACTAAGGAGGACAGAAGAAGAATTGATTCCCTTTGAACTGTGGTGCTGGAGAAGAGTCTTGAACATACCATGGTCTGCTAAGAAAACAAATAGGTCTGTCTTGGAGAGGGTGAAACCAAGTTTCTCCTTGGAAGGTAGGTTTTAAAGCTCCATCTCATATACTTTGGGCATGTGGCTAGAAGAGATCGGTCCTTGGAGAAGGACATCATGCTTGGAAGGGTTAGGGGACAGTGCAGGAGAGGAAGACCCCGGATGAGATGGACTGATAACAGTAACTGGGGCAATGAAAATTGGTGTGTCAGAATTAGTGAGACTGGCTCAGAGATGCTGTACATAGAGTCACTATGGGTCGCAGGCAACTTGAGGGCACATAACAGCAACAAGGAACAAGAGGGAGTATTTATTTCTTAAGGCATTTTTGTGGGATTAGATCCCCCTTTCTATGCGAACAGGAGGGAAGAAGGGGAGGAGAAAAAAGCAGTGGGATCTGTACTATGTTTTGTGCCACTTAGCTTGTGCTCCCATGACTATGACTGTGGTGGCCTGTTCACGGTCTACTTCAGGAGAGTAAGAAAGTTAGGCAGAATTGTCATAGTTATTGATATACAGAAATATAGAGATAGTGTAATTGACTTTGCTGAATCTTCCAGGGTAATGATTAAATAAATGTCTTTGAAAACCCGCTGGAGGGTCAGCTTTGGGTCAGTTCCGACTCTACAGTACACGGCGACAACAAGGGACAGTGGCAGTTTCTGTCTTTCAGCCACTTTCTGATTAGTCATGTAGTAAGGGTTATTTCAGTATTATTTTTTAAAAGAAAATCTTAACCTTTTGTATACAAACCTTTGATTCCTTAAGTTACAAAACCTCTCTTCCTATTAAATTGAGTATTAGAGGTGAGATACGAGATATTAGGGTATACACTGAAAATGCACTTCTATGGAGGAGTGAATGCTGTAAGAAGAACTTTTTAACTCTGGAAAATGAATTACATTTTCTTAGCTTTAGTACGCTATTATAGTAAGCACAAATATTCCATCCTGAAAAAAACCTCCCCAAAAACCTGGCAGAGAGTTTATCTTTCTTTAAGACTGTGAAATCTAAGATGGTGTGAGTCTTACTTGTTAGCTGGAAGGAAAAGAGTGGTCTCTTTGGCACAGGTAGTCTTGGGAAGGAATCCAGAGTAAGAATAAGAGTGAACTTGGGATAGAGACCCTTTCCCTGAAAAAGAACAATCTGTAACATAGGTCGGCAACCTTTTTCTGGTAAGGGCTACTGAGCAGGTATTTTTTGACTTTCTACTCTGTTACAGCTACTTATATCTGTCATTGTATAGTGAAAACAGCCACAGGTAGTACATAAATGAGTGCACCTTCTAAGAAAACCGTTATTTACAAAAACAAGTGACAGACTGGATTGGCCCATGTTCATCACTGTCTCCTTCTGTTCCCTCATCTTCACTAGAACTGGTCTTGCCAGCCTCACCAGAGCTTTCCCCGTTGTCAGATTCAATGACAAGTTCTCTCTCCTGATGGTAGATGAATTTTCAACAACATTAGACAAGGTTAAACTTTCCCTCCTCCTTCAGACCCCTGTTTGCTTTCTCTGACCCCACAGTCCCAGTGTTCTTCTCTTGTCGCTGGCAGTCTTCTCTGCTGCTTCCTCACCTTCTGTCTAGGCTGCTGGGAATTACAGTGCTGTTCTCTAGATGATACCTTCTTGTACTGAGGGTTCAAGATTAACAATAAACTGCTGACTTCTAAATTTAGAGCTCATCTTTTCATCTCTTGCTAAGCTTCTGACTCATATATTCAATTTGCTATCTCTGCTTGATATCACATAGTCTGAGCACCTTTAACATGGAGCCCTGGGTGGCCTAATGTGTAACATATTGGGCTGTTAACCAAGCGGTTGACAATTTGAGTCTACCAAGGGAGAAAGATGAGTAATGTCTTCCTGTGAAGGTTTATAGTCTTGGAAATCTGAAGGAGTCGGGGCCAGCTTGACACAGTGGGATTGTGAATATTTACCATATTGAAAAACAAAATTCTCCATATTCACTCCTTCCTTATACAACCCATGGTAAAGAATTTCAGAATAAGAAAGGAATCCTCCAATCCAAAGATGTAGACAACCTGGGAAATTCCAGAAGGAGAGGGAAGTGTAATTCTGACCTCTACCAGGGAAGGAATTTCCTGCAGAGGAAGCCAATTTACGTTTCCTTTTTGGAATATTCCCCCCTCCCGTTTTTTCTTCTTCTCCCCCCCCTTAAGTGAAAAAGTCTAGCGGTAGCCCTTGCGTTAGGTACAGCTGAGTGCAGATGCTCAAATGATGGTGTCAGAGCTTCAACATTCTTCTTCCTCTGTGTTTTGCTCTCTGCTGTGACAGGGTCTTCTCAGAGAGGCCTGCCCACGTCCCTGTGGAGATGAAGATGGCCACACACAGTTCTCGACTTGCACTGCCCTCAGCATTACACTTCTACAGGGCTGCTAAGTGGATGGTTGGTTTTAGTCCAGACAGAGGCAACCTCAGAATAAAGACCTGGTGATCTACTTCAGAAATATCAGCCATTGAAAACTCTGTAGAGCACAGTTCTGCTCTGACACACATGAGGTTGCCAACAGCTGGGATTGCCTTGGGGACACTGGTAAAGGCTATTTGAGACAAAACCCAAATGAAACCCTCTGCTGTCAAGTCCACACTGACTCATAGTGGCCCTACAGGATGGAATAGAACTGTCACATACACTTTCCAAGGCTGTAAATCTTTACTGAAACAGACTGCTACATCTTTTTCCTGTGGGGCAGCTGATGGGTTCAGACCACCAATCCTGCTAGCAGCTGAGCACTTAACCAGGGATTCTTTCTAAGACAAGCCACTTAAGGTCCAGAGTACATGAAGTGCTTTGGGGGAGTGAAGCATGGGTTCTTTTGGTGTCTGCTGCACCTTTAAGAAGTACTTAGGTTCTAAGTGTGTGGCTTTAGTACCTTCATAAATCCTGTTGTTCCATCCCTCTTCACAAGAGCTGCTTCCAGTATGTAGCATCCATCCATCTTTGTCAGGTTTTATTTCAGTAGAAACATTTGGCTCGCCATTAACTTTAAGGGTCCCTTTCGAACTTCATTGGTTTCCAAATGGGGTATTGTAAGTGTCTTTAAGGTTTGCCACCATTTCTGGCGTAACCTAAATGCTTGGGGAGACAGAGTCATCCGGGACTTCCAGAATACAGAGCTCCTCCCCCTCCAGCTGGAGCTACCTGCCACTCTACAGACTTTGAAGGTTACTGCGTGTGCATGTGCACATACCTACACCTCCACACGCACATATACACATATGCATGTTATGTTTGTCATGTAGCGTCACCAACATAGAGGGAAGTAGTTTCATTTTCAAATTACAATTTTCTAATGCAGGTTAGTGAGAGTCTTGAGTATTTCCTCGTACCCAAATGCTAGACTGTAGTTGTGTCTGCTGTTTTATACCGTAGAATTGTTAAGATGAGTGCAATAATTCACATGAGCTGAATGATGATTTTCTTTTGCTGCTGGAATTGGTTCTAGTGTAACGACTGACGTGGTCTTGTGCTGCTTCTCTTTTTTCCCTTCTTTTACTCCAGGCACTTGAGGAGGCCCAGAAAGCGATTCAGCAACTCTTTGGCAAAATCAAAGACATCAAAGACAAAGCCGAAAAATCAGAGCAGATGGTGAGTTGAGATCTCTCACGTTTTCAGAGAGGGCTTCGCCTCTCCGCTGGTCTCACTGATGAATGGCTTTCTCTCCCACCTCCTGTCAGCCACAGTGGTCGTGCATCTCAGTAGCGAATGCATGTGCGTGCGTTCCAGCTCCATTCTCCAGCAGCCACTAGACACGCCATGACTCACCGCCTCTGCTACCCTATATTCGCAGCCCTGTTTCTAAATACAAGTTTCCTTTTTTGCCTTTTCCAAAAATAGTTTCCTAGTCATTTTGGATTTTTTCCCCTCTAGCTTTTGTTTATATCACGCATTTCTCAATTGAGATTTACACTGTATAACTTGGTATCACATGAAAGCTGGAGCTCTGTGCAGCACCCCACATGGAGGTGGGGCATAGTCTGTCCAGGATGCATGCTTGTAGCTTTGGTTTAGAAGTTCTCTGGCCCTACCCACAGAAGACCCCTCTGCTGACTAAGAGTTGAGTATCCACATTCTGGCTCTGTGGCAGGTACTGTGAAGTGCTAGACGTTGGATCTCGAGTTCAAATTCTGACTGAGAAATGTGATGACTCTGAATTCTAGTTTTATCAACTGTAAAATAAGGATAGTAGCACCTGCCTCACAGGGTTGTCATGAGAATTACGTGGATGAAGAGTGCCAAGTGGACTACTAAACCTGCTCTGCAAATGGGAAGAAAACTCTCAAACTCATTGCCATTGAGTTGGAATCAACTCCTAGTAGACCTTCCATATGGTTTCCAAGGGTGTAAATTACAGGACAGGATTCCTATTTTTCGTCTTTGGGTCTTCTTGTAGATTCGAACTGCCATAGAGATGTGATCTTTGGAACTGCCATAGAGATGTGATCTTTGAGTTAGTAGCACAACTCCTGATGGAGCACTACTTAGGAATAGTAGTTCTTCTTAATAACAGTATTTCTTTTCCCCCTACATTTCCTTGGTTACAAAACTCCTAAACCCTTACAGATGCTTTCCCTCTTATAGTCCACCCCAGGAGCATATCTCTGGTCTCATGCCCACATATTCTTCAGTTCTCTTTGCTGTCCCTTTAGCAAGATATAACAGGATATAAGGTGTGGGGTAAGAGGGGCAGACCTTCCACAGATATTTCTGTGTTGGTTTTGGAAGGACATTAATGCTAATTGGGCTGAGTTTAGATCCCAACTCCTCTACTTACTTATTGGGTGAACTTAAGCACGTTATCTATGCCTCAGCTTCTTTTTTGTGAATAGAATTAATAGTCATGTCTACCTCATGGAACGGTGAGATTCAGTGAACTAATGCATGATTCACAAGCCCTGAGTTAAGTGTGAGTTGTTGCTGTTTTGATGGATAGTTTTTCATACTCTCACTCACAAGCAGATGGTGATAAGGCCTTTCAGTAGTCAACAAAGAGCTGAAGAGAAAGAGCTTTTTCATCGGAGAAATAACGATTAGCATGCTTGACTCACCCCAGAGTTACATAGCATAGAGAGGAGTTTGTGTGTGATCAGAAAGGGATTTACATTTGAGCTGTCTTTCCCCTGGGGTGCACTATGCTCAGCACCCCCTTGGACTGTTGAAGTGTGCTTATTAGGTGACACTCCCAGATATGACTTAAAAATTAACTCCTTCTCTCTACTTTCTACCTGTTCCTTGTAACTATTAATAGTATTTGCTTGCCAAAACTGAGGCATTTGCTGCAGAAGGTCAAGGACTGCAGCCTTCAATATGGTTTGAAGCTCAACATCAAGAAAATAAAAATTCTCACCACTGGGCGATTGGCAGGATCATGATAGATGGTGAAGCGATTGAGATAATTAATAGCTTCAGTTTGCGTGGTGCTACAAGCAACACTCTTGGTACCAGCAGCCAGGAAATAAAAAGATGAATTGCATTGGGAAAATCTGCTGTCAGGGGCCTCTCCAGAGAACTAAAGAGCAATGATGTCAGAATAGAAACTAAGGTGCGTCTGATTTAGGCCATGGTCTTCACAAGTAACTTGATATGCATTAGAAAGCTGGACAATGACTAGGAAAATAGAAGAATTGATACCTCTGAGTTTTGGTGCTAGAGAAGAATATTGAATATGCCATAGACTGCTAGGAGAACAAATAGGTCTGTCCTGGAGAGGGTGAAACCAGACTACTCCTTGGAAGCAAGGAAGGATTTTGAAGCTTTATCTGACATACCTTAGGCATATTGCAAAGAGGAACCAGTTCTCCGAGAGGAACATCATACTTTGGAGGGTGGAAGGACAGTGCAAGAGCGGAAGACCCTGGATGAGTTGCATTAATTCTGTGGCTGGGGTAATGGAGGTGGGTGTATCAGAGACAATGAGGTTGGCATAGGATAGAGCAGGTTTTAGAGCTATTGTACTATGAGTCACTATATATATATATATAAGTTATATATGTGTTATATGTATATATAAGTGTTACATATATAAATGTTATATATATAAGTGTTATATATATGATTTATATATGTTGTTGTTGTTATGTGCCGTCGAGTCACCTGC